TTTTAACTACTGCCTTAACATGTGTATACATTGAGAACAAAGTTGTTAATAGTCTACCTCTCATTCCTGCCTTTGTTAATTTATAAAATAGTGAAATATGGTGGACCCTATCGAATGCTTTTTCATAATTAATAAAAGCACAATATAATCGACTATTGAGATGAAATACATATTTATCAATAATTGTGCTCAGAATAAACAATGGTGTTATTAATCCAATTGCCCACTTTTCAGGAAAATAACCTTGTTCAAGTAATACATTAAATAAAATAAATAACATTTCAACAATTTTCTGTGGTGCGTCTTTCCAAAATTCCGAAGAAATGCCATCTTGCCCAGGGGCTTTATTATTTTTTAGTTTCTTTATGCTCTTTTTAATTTCATCTTGTGTGATAGGGCAGTCAAGGTCAGTATTATCAACCTCTGTGTTCTCAATGTCATCAAAATTTAACCTTGTTCCTTGTTACATAATCATTTACTGAATCAAAAAAATCCGCCATATCCTCATCCCCTATAAAATTGTTATTAAACAGATGTTTAAAATAATCATGCCACTCTTTCTGGGTAATAATTTTAGACACATTTTCGTTTCGTTGCCGAAATTTCTCCCAAAATTGCCGTGAGTTTGAATAAGCAGCTAAGTTTACAAGTTCATTTTGTCTCATTTCCAAATAATTTAACTTTTTCTCTTTAATCAATTTTCTATATTTCTTTTTTAATTTTAAGTAATATTCCAACCTTTTCCCATTTTGAGAATTTCTAAACTGATTTAGTGCACGTAATACTTCTTTTTTAGTTGCCGAACACTCTTTATCGAACCTTTCTTTTTAATATTATTTTTGGTCTCAGTTCTCATGTCAGTGGCACACAAAGAGACAATGTTCACCAAACCCGCTGCTGCTTCCTCGAGGTTTCCCATATAATACTATCGTTAAAAGTAGAGTTAATTGTTCAATTGGTTCAGTTTGAAAGTTATCAAGATACTGCTGTTTTTTCTATTGCTCCCACCTTAACCTAGATGTGTCATTTTTGTTAACAATACAATTGTCCGAACTATCCCTAGTTGGATTTACCCCCACCTCATTTTGGTAAGTTAAAACAAATTTTAAAGGCATGTGGTCAGATTCAACTCTATTGCCCACTGTAAAATCAGTAAATTTAACTAGAACCTCCTCTGTTGTCAACACATAGTCAATTACACTCGTACCAAGTTCTGATATAAAAGTGAAATTGCCACTCCCTCTTTCCTGAAATAATCTCCCATTCACAATTTTTAATCCAGTAACTGAACAAAATTCAAGTAATTCCATCCCATAATTATTTACTACCACATCTTTTGAAATTCGTTTATCAGCCCCTTGTCCCATATTTTCAAACCCCTCCATTGGCAAGTATGTGCAATCCAGATCAATACCATCAGATTTGCAACCTGTTCTACCATTAAAATCTCCTGTAATTATAATATTACACTCATATTTACTGGTATAAATTAACATTTCAGATTCTAAAGTATCGAAAAAATCTTTGTCAGCGATCTTAGTCGTAGTAATAGGTGGCGATGGCAGAAAAAAAGCAAAATATTTTTTGTTCTTCATTTAGTTGTGTGCTATTTTTTTCAATGATGAATTCACTGTAGTTTTATTTATTTTTGTATAGAATTGTTCCTTAAGGAATAGGCGTGCAGGAATTTTTTTCCTATAGAACCCTACTAAATTTGTTTCCATAACCTTTCCTGTGCAATTCCTATTGGTTCATCCCTTATTTCAAAAACCTTCACTCTAATATAACGTTGGTTATAGGAATTGGATAATCGCCACGCCACAAAATAGGCGTTCTCGAGTTCGCATAATTCTGACTAGAAATGCTAGAACGAGGGAACAGTGGGTGTGGTGACGAAAGACAATGGGACACTATTGGGGGAAAGAAGCAAGTCTCGTGGTTATCTCGCTCTCAACGAGATCTCGTCAACCGTTTGCGGTATATTTTTTCTGTTATAGGTTAGATGTTCATCTGGGTCCAGTCTGTCGTCTGGGAAATCGACATTGCCTTGCTGGGAGTAGATTCGAGTACTGCACAGATAAAGTCACGTACTAGCTTCTTGTATATTTTTATTTGTATTTTGAAATTTGAGTTATTATTTTTTTATACACATATATTAGTAGTGTGTCTACGAAATAAAAAAAACAATGCTGAATAATTCCTTACGTACGACTAAGTGTGCGCATGTTGGCTGCAATGCTGCATGCAAACACCAAGGTTGAATATACTCAACTTTGACATTTTCTCATAAAACTTTAATGACAGGATAAAAACAATAAAAGACCGTGCATTGTTTCTAACTAACCCCAACGTTCGGGTCCTCCTCTTACATCTTTAAAGTCAAGGTTAATAATGTGGACACCAAGCTTTAAGTATTCTCATCCAGTATTACTCTCATTGCGCAAAGAAAGTTATAATGCATTTACAACCTTGATAAACGCGTAACATGTCTGATCGTTATATAGCAAGTTCTGACAGAAATGTAAATAATAGCCCCGCCATAATGGCCAAAATGTACGGGTTTTTTTTTCAAGAACCTGTTAAATGCTGATATCGATTCTATGACTACGCGTGAATTATAGCCCAGTAATAGGAGTAATTGTTAGATCTGTGATTATTGCGAACATTTTGTACGCTTTTTGTAACTGTTCTTGTGCCCGAGCACGGAATAACCAAGCACCGTATCGGACTATGCAATACCTGCGCAGACAGGTAAAACACATTAAGTTACATGTCCAGAAAGGTCAACACAAAAATGTCATTCCAATTTCACAGTTGAACAGTTCCGACTCCCAACTCTATTTCGTCTCAGCTCAGTACCTCAAGGACACATATGGTCCACTGAATTAAAAGACCCTGAATGCCAATGATGTTACGCTACTCGCAAACATATTATTTTAAAGCGGCATGCTAGTCGTCGCGTAGCGCGCTCGACGTTTACGCGCGTTTACACGTCGCGTGGGACCCGTTGCGAATACGGCGCGGCGTGACGTATGCGACGTTTCAGTCTAATCTAATCTGGATTCATATTTGACTACTCATTGTCTTATGTGAGTCTATAATCTCATTGTGCATTAATAATCGGATTAAAGGATTACAGCGATAAAAAAAGGATTGAATGAAAGTGTAAACAGAAGGAACAATGGTTATCCGTATTTCCATGGTGCAGCCTGGGACACAGTAGCGCCAATTATGGAGACTGAATTACGCTGCAACAGTTTGGCATGCGTAACCAGGGCAGAGTGAAC